GTGAGGAAAGTCAGATTATGTAATATTTAACTTAAAAATAAGTTAATGTAGGTGAAATTTGGATTGTATGTATATATTTAATATATATTATAAATATATATGTTTAATGCTTTGGATAGAGCACAAAAATATGTACATAGGACGAATATTGATTTTCGAATTATCTATGTGAGCGAATATAAATTTATATGAGGGTTTGGAATTTAGTTAATTGTTAATTAATGAATAAGATAGATGAGACCAAATAATTTGTGAATTTTAAATTTGTGTAAATTTGTGTAATGGGTGGCTTAATTTGTAACACTTTGGATAAGCCGTACATAACTATTTGTTGAATCATTCTCCAAGCGATTCCGTATTTAATTCAGAAACTAATACTTGAAACTTTAAATTTCGATTTATTTATTTGTATTTAGGGTGTATAATTATGACTGTAATTAATCATCGCACCGCTGAAAGGACTTAACGTCTCTGAATTAAAATTAGTGACATGGTCTGCGTTAAACAAAAATTTTGAATCACCAAAGGCGTCCCGCGGTCCATGAAGTTCGAGCCAAATTTAACCTTTAACGCGTACGAAGACGAAACTTGTCGTCTCGAAATGCCCCGGTCGATCTTCTGCATCTGACCAGCGCGTCGATTCAGAGCCGATAAAACTTTGATGGACACGTTATGAATCCAGGACGCCATCGTGATTACCATGACATTGCAGACCCCGCAGTCCAAGCCCATCAGAGGAAAGATTAGAAATCCAGGCATTGGTATTTCCTCTCGGAGATTGATGCAGACATACATCCCAATTATTTGGATGGATGGTGCACACAGCATTAGTGCCGGGACCACCCTGCCCATCAGGGCTGCGTTGAAGGATTGTTCCAAAATTTGGATTCTTCGATAGGTTCGGATACAAGGGCTCACGTCGCTGGTTGCTTGAATTTCCCTGCATTTAGAACATAATTACTCACACTGGAAGTTTCTCAGCGAATGTTGCCAGATTTTAACCAAGCTTGAACTAGTTTCAATCGGTCAGAAATGAATTTGATTATCAAATTTCATAGGTACATATCAAAATTTGATATGTACCTATGAATTTGCATAAACCAAGATCTGTCAATGTGCAGGTTTGGCAGCGATATTTGTTACCAAACAGGAGAAAATACATACTAAAATTGGAAATTGTAACATTTGTCAACTTTAGTTAGTCTGTTCTCTTTGTTGGGTGCAAATATCTCCGCGCCAAACATGAAAATTGACAGATCGATTTTATAAGTATAAAATTTGTAATAGATTGAGATCGGTTTGTTCAAAATCTGTCAAGGGGGATTGGCAATGAAAAAGAACAAGTTAGTTTATGCATGTTGGAATATGTACCTTTCAAGGATTTCGAGATACGTTAGCAGACACACTATTCCTGCGAAAAATATGTGCAGTAGTAAAGACGCGGCTGAGTAGACGGTGTGAAGAAGTGTCCACGATTCAAAAATATGAATTCCCAAGTCAAATATTCCTGCCGAGGCGGATTTGCAATTTGGCGACATTGACAAGATGAAGGGCGGCATGCAGGGGATGTAGAGTAGCAAGGCGAGTTGGAGGAGGGCAACCATTGGGCAGGAGAGTTCCACCAGCCAAATGAATTTCGACATTATCTTGGTCAAAGTTGTAGGTTTGGATTGTCGCTGAATTACTGAATAATTTTAAGGATCATTTAGAAATTTTAGATATTTTGCTTAAATTGATAGTTTATAAATAGCTTGAAATAAAGGAGACAATTATAGTATTTGTAGATCCGATGGGATTTTTCCAATCCGATAATATACTATAATACAGATTTCATCCGACAATACCCTATCCTTCGGATCGGATCCATTTATAGGATTCGGGAATAATCCGATCGGATCTCAATTCTAGGGGAATTCGAAAATTTTACGTTACACGATCTCGATTACTAAGCTTTTAACATCTCAAGAAAACTGTTAAAAACGTGTCTTGTTTTAAACGTGTACTAAATTTCTAAAGTCTTACAATCATCCTCGAAGTCCAAGAACCCGTTTATCACTTGAATAGCGACATTGTCCACCTTGAAATTCCATCGAATTGCTCCTGCCAAAAGGTACATGAAAAAGAATGCGACTCCCTGATACCGTTCAGCTGTTGTGAAGCGTCCAAAGAACAGGTTGATCAGCATGGCCGGTAAGAACAGAGCGGAAACGATGCACTGAAACTGGAACATTTTACGGTGTCGGATCGACCCCGTTTTTTTCAAGCGTTCCGTCCTTATGTCGAACTCGAACGGGAAACATTTCAAAGTTTGACAGATTTTTTGGTGGAGTTTGAGAATGGGGAGAAATGTGGTTTGATACATTGTCAAGGTTCAGGTTTTAGCAAATGTACTGCTGAAAAACTAGGGTGGGTGTGATCAGCAAAGATATTTATTATTGCGACTCATTCCTCATGACGTACATACTTTAGTCGAGTTGATCAATCAAAGCCTTCATTATAAATAGAAAGTCGAGATTAACTGTGTAAAGAATATGATGATTTATTAATATGCACTCTTAAAAATAATGTTACCTTTTTGAAAAGTGGATGTACTCTCGATTCTAAATACAGTACTATGAATAATTCGAGAAAATTCGTTACCCGCTGAGCTCTATTGGCGGGTGATAATTACGGAGAGGTTTTGTCACCAATCGGAAATAAATCATGTACCAAACCAATTAGTCGTGACGTCTTTACCTTGGAACTCTAATTACATATTGGAATGTACATATATAACTGCAGTGGTGGAAGGAAAATCTATCAGGAAAATCCTATCTTGCTGTTCATAAGCCCCTCCTCTTCCTATCTCACAATGCTAATGTCCCCATATGTCCCCCAGCTTCCGTCTTCCGCCACTGTACATAAGTACCAAATCCAGAGCAAAGTTATCCTGTTTGCTCTGGATTTAGTATCGTTTACTCGACATAGACTCGAAAGTACGTTTACTGTTCAAAAGGCTAGCATTTTTAAGAGTGTACATAAGCATTGGTTCCTTAATTAAATTTCTTACTCATTGTATGTCACTGACTTAGCGGAGTGGATCTATGTAGCCAAATACTAAACAAAATGGGAAGTCTTGCGTTCTCGAATATTTAAATAGTTTCCCGTAAAATAAAGCGTAGCACTTTTGTAACTTTGATTCCAAAGAGAATATAAATTTTATATTTTTTTATGTAAATTTGATCACGGTGCTTCATAGGCGAAAATGTATTGCGACACTCTACATGAATTTGTTTGGAGTTGCTTTCGCACTTTGTCTCAAGGTGTTTATGATTTCAACAGTTTCAAAGGCCACGGAAATGTGCGAATTTTCGAAGGGAGAAACTATTGTGCATGTCTGAAAGAATTTTACCGTCCTGAATGGAAAATGTACTTTAAATTGTAGATTAAGTAAGTAATGCCCATGGCCGCGGAAGCCGTGGGGACATTAACGTTATAGGATTGGGGAAGGAAAGGTTTATATGTGTAATATGGACAGATGGTGGGGACAAACCGTGGGAACATTGTCCAAGTCTGTCCTCACGCCTCCGCGACCACTGACATTTCTGAGTATTGACACATTTTGGAACTTACCTAAGCTGACTTGACAGATTTATGTAACTGAATTAATTATGCACTTTTCATTATGAAATATGACTGTCTGTCATATTCTAGACGGTACATACACAACATTATTTGTGGGACATGTACATAGATAATTCAGCTTCAGGATTGTTCAGATGGTGGACACGCCCTACATGTTTTTAAGTCCTCGCTACTTATGCACCTATGTAGATGTAGATTTTCCCTTTCGACTGGAAAATCTAGTATTGATTTCTCGGTACCGTACACTGTTAAAAATCTGGTAGAGTCCCATTAATACACCGTACCGGTATTGATTTCGCAATAATACCGGATTAGTAGTACCGGATTCATACCCTAGATTCATACCCTAGATTCATACCGGATTGGTAGTAAATTGTTCTTAAGTGGTAAATTTTTAAACATTATTGAACGGTAATTCCCATTAATAACAGTGCCGAAGACATAAAAGTTAGGGAAGCGATAGAGGCGGTCGCGGTGGGCTGCAGCTTAGTATATTTACCAACATGTAGAGTCACATATGTACTCCGGTCGGTAATCATTTAATACCAGTTTTCTAAGAGTATTGATATCGCCTGGTATTAAGTAAAAGTATGCCGGTGCATAATAATTTCCTGGCGATATGGTAAAACATTAATGCTGAGCTATTACTGGACTGTATTACTTATCAGTACCCTTTGGTATTGGTTCGACACTGGATTTCTAAGAGTTTATCTGTATATTATGAATTATTAACGGTACTTGGACTCAATCTTGACCGTAGATAGATTTCGGTCGACTTGAGCCTCAAATTGAATAATGCTGATGATCAAGTTATGTATTTAGGCAAAACGTAGTGCATAATTTATTAAGACTTGGATTGTTGAGAACGAAAAATAAATAATTTAACGAGACCAGGACACCATGCGATGCAACAGCTAAATTTCCCCCGAGTACATACAATTATGTAAATATTTGGTTCATAAATTGCCATATCTTCATAAGTACATTTTAAGGGCGTGTCCATAAGTTTATAGATTTTTTGTATGAAATGAAGATTTTATTGCATAATAAATTGATAATTTGTATGTTTGTAAAGTTCCTTAGGTTAGATGAACCAGGTTAATCAAAATTCTAACCTAGCTTTCCCAACATAAAAATTGTCGATTTAAATGTGGAAACAATAAAATCTTAATTTTTTAAAAACAACGCGCAGAGATGAACAAGTTTCAAAATCGTCATTTAAATACATGAAAGAAGGGGAAGTTGAGACACAAGAATTCAAAATCAAAACCCGCATGCATTAGAACGTTAAATAAAATGGTGTCCGGAGTGTCCCAAAAACTATGCACCACACTGTATCCCGGTTGACTGACTGCCCCGCAAACTGGCGGCTAGCATATGTTCCCCATTTTTCTGCGTTCCCAACATTTGTTTACTGCTGTTCGAAATTTTATTGTTATTTTTTCTAAAATAATTAAATTTCTGATTGAAATTTAAAGCCAAGTTATCATAAACTTGACTATGACACAGAATGTCTGCCCGCGATCAAATTAAGATCATGTTGGACGAGTTGATGGGGACAAGTCGGAATGGTAAAAATGTGTAAAATAAAACAAGATTTTAAAACTATTTAATTAACTAATTAACTAACTTTTTTATTAATTATAATATTACAGGGGAAGAGGACAAATTTCCAGTGAAATTCTATGAACCCCAAGTCTGTAAGAGTTTCTTACTGGGATGTTGCCCCCACGATGTTTTAGCCTCCACGGTGAGTCCAACTTGTTACTTTTTGGGCGAAGTCAGTCAGTAAGTCAGTTAATTAAATAATTAATTAATTATTCATTAAATGTATGGGTCATGAAATGAGTTTATTATCACTACGAAATAGTAACGCAGTTCAATTGGTAACTCGTAAAATCCGTGCATTTTGCAAACCAATTTTGCAAATTGTTGCGAAAACAACAAGGTGGTCGGAGCAAGTTTATGAACAATTGGTGGGCTAATTATACTTCGAAAGTTTGTAAAAGTTTGCAAGTTTACGGAGTTTGCAAGATTACCAAGGCCTGCGTGAATTGGATCGACATATATAAACTGATTTATTTAGCAGGAAATAATTAGATACTTGTTAAAATTTGAAATTGTTTCTTACATTTTTGCAGCGGATTATGCTCGAAAAATGCACCCGAGTGCATAATGTCGGGTTGAAGGCGGACTATGAACTTACCGTGGCAAGTGGAAAACGTTACTGTTATGATCTTGAGGTAAATAGAAAAATTACATTTTTGACACATTTTTAATCATCATTTTGGCTGGGGTGTGGGAATCTAATCTAAAATTCTGGACAATTTTTTGAACAGTGAGTTGGTTGATATTAATTAGAATATGGTGCGTTTTTTAAGCCAGGTTGGACGAGTTCCAATTTTTCTGAGGGTTACTTCAACTTGAAATCTCCTTCAAAAAGTGTCAAAATTTAGAGTATAGATTTTTTAAAAAAGTGGGAACAACCTTCTCTGCCGTCAAGAATTTTAAAATACATTCCCAGAGGAGAGAAATGATTAGAAATGAGCCGATTTTTACGATTTGAGTAATGAACAGTGGTGAAGCCGTCGGGACATTAACTGTTGAAGGATAGCAGAGGGTTTGTATAGCATGGGGAAATGATGCGGACATCGAACTACTATGGGAATATTGTCCCCATACTTGCGCGGCCACTGGCGATAAGTATTCGAATTACTGTAGAATTTTAGAATTTGCATTTACTTTTCGAAATTGGTCAAATTTTTTTTACAACCATTTTTTCTAAACTAAATTTTTCCTTAGGTGATCAAACAACTTGCCCCCTTCGTGGCGAAAGCAGACCGAAGAGTGGCCGAGGCTCGGGAACGTCTCAAAGCGAATGACGACGTGACCACGTTGGGCGCCAAGGTTTCCGAGCTGGGCGAAAAGATTGACGCCGCCTTGAAGAAAGCGGAACAACTCGGCGCCACCGGTTTCGTCGCCGAGGGGATGAAAGTCGTCGGAGGAATTGACGCCATGCTGAAAGAAAAGGGAGAAGCGGAACGCGTCTATTTCGCCGCCACTGCGACCGTCGCGACGGCGGGAATGTCAAGTCAAAGAAAGAATTTTAATGAAAATTTTCGAGTTTGTGAAGTGTGCTCGGTTTACGTGGGAATCCACGATACGGAACAGAGAAAAAGGGACCATCTGGAAGGGAAGTTGCACCAGGGATTTATCAAGATACGAGAAACTTTGAAAGAATTGGAGGTGAGTTTAAAAAAATAAATTTATGAATTATTTACATATGGTTTGTTCAGGATTAATAGACGATTCTGGGTAGAAAACGGTTGTCTGTTGTGGAAATTTCGATTTTTTTTAAGATTCAGATTCCTGAGACTGAACAAAGTTTTGAAGAGTCGTGATGATTCTCCTGAGATTAACACAAGAATAGATTGGAAATTTATATTGGACGGTATTTAGAAAAAAATAGAAAACTTGGGCTTCGTGTATTAATTTTGAACAAGTCATAAATAATGAAATGTATAACTAGATAAATATGTACATAAAAATGGGTATTTAAGCAGTTCACGAAGCGCTTGGTAACTTTGTAAAATCCGTTAAGTTTTGAAAATTAATTTACTAACTAAAGAGACACCGTTAATCTGAGCAAGATTAGGAAAATTTACGATATAGTTTTCCTCAGGAATATTTATGTGTAAAATTATATTATGAATCTTATGTCAAGTGTAAAAGTTTATAAGTTTACGGAATTTGCGAATTTTACAACGTTACCAAGAAGGCCTTCGTGAATTGCATCAATATGTAAATATATCAATTTTTTAGAGAGTTGACGCCCAGCGTCGTAAAGTTCGGAGGGAGCAGATTCGCCTTGACGACAAGATAAGGCGGCTTCGCGAGCAAGAGAGACGCGAAGAGGAACGATGGAGGATGCAAAGATGGAATCCGCCAATGTCGAGGAGGTAAAACTTGTAAAAAATTTTGAATTGGGGATTACCTTTGTAAAATCATTTTTCGTTTTTTATGTCCACTTTTCAAAATATTTTATAGACTAAAATAATCCGGGTTTTCGCGTCACCTTCGTAACTTTCGTAAATAAATAGCATAAATTTTTAGCATCTACGAAAATTTCAGAAACTTCGTAAATACTTAGATAATGGGTTTACTCCTTTAGTAAGAACAAAATTTAAGTAAAAATAACAAAATCATGATATTTCGAACGCCATATTCACATATGCAAGGAATATTTTTAAGTAATTATGAAATATTTTTTATCAAGGGTCTTTTTTTAACCTCAACGATTCGTAAATGACATAAATTTACAATTATTTCTTTACGAATCCACAGTTATGAAGGTCGTGAAAACCCTTCAAAAACCCAATTCATATCGAGGCAATTCACGTATTTAAGCCATGCAAACGTGGTAAATTTGCAAACTTTTACAAATATTTCCCAAGAAAAATAAGCGTCCTAATTTTTGCTAGCTTTCTCCAGTTACAATTTATATTTTGTGGTCAAATTATGCTACAAAACTTCTCGATTTTACAAAGCGTGAATTTTCCTCAGTAAATATACATAAATTTCCGAAGGTTTTTTTAAGTAAATAAATTCTTGTATTTCTTTGAATCAGGGCAAAACGTGAGGAGCAGCGGAGGGCAAGACGTGACGAGGAGCGTGACCGTTCCCGTCGTCGACATGACCATAGTCAGTTTAGATCGCGATCTCGAAGTGGACATCGGAACGACACGAGGCCACGATCGAGGGAACGCGGTGACCGGGACAAGGTGACCAGACGACGACACTAAAAAACGAGTAAATTTCGGACTAATCATTTCCACGATTTAAAAAATGACATAATCTTAATTACAGATAAGCAATATATGTATGTATTTAGACATTAATTATTATTTATTGTAATTAAGAGATTTTACATATTTAATATGTACAAAAAAGATTTATAGACTGAAAAATTGACATTTTTATTTAGTACAAATAAAATATTGAGGATGGGTAAATTTCTGGTTTGAAATATTTTGACACGTTTTTTTATTTTTTTCTGGAGTAAGCCATTTATTTACTTATTTAATTATTCGTTGTACATACATACATACATACATACATACATATTTATTACTGGATAATTGACATTTATCACCTCCAGTGATAAATTGTTACCAAAGTGATACATAGAATTGCGTAGTACCTCCGCCGGTAAGAATTACACACAAAATTATTGTCAATTTATGTACATATGTACATAACTAGGCATATAAATTACTTAAATAAATTCCAGTCTACCTTGCGTAATAATTAGGATTAGATACGTAGCAATCCATCATGTCGGTCCGGCTCAGCATTCATACATATTCAGTACAAGGATAACCTTCACTCTGCCTCGTGCCCAGTAAAGCATTATGAAATTTGTTTTTTGTAACGTTTATCATCACATATTTGAGTTATCTTTACCTCGCTCTTGACAAGAGAATTAACTTATACACGCTTAAAAATAATGCTACCCTATTGAACAGTAAATTCACTCTGAATTCTGTGTTCAGTATACTATACAATACCCAGAGTAACCTGGAATTGATAAAGTATGGATTTAATTTAGCATACAGACTTGATAAGGAAACGTCCATATACGGATATTACGTCATCAAAAAGGTTATTGGATGGTTTTGGGTACTCTACTTATCTTACATATTCGTGTTAAGCTTAACATAAATAGGGCAAATAAGTTGATGGGTGGCATAGAAATCGGTGCTTTTTTCTGAGGTGAGGAAGTAACCAAGGGCTACCCTCATGACACAAAAGCGCATGGTAACGGCGAAGCCAAGGTATGCTTTCAAGACAGGGTCCTAAAACTTCCGCCACGGCCACAGCTCGAACGGTTGAATTTAGTGAAAAATTGTTTAAACAAAAAAATCAGACAATCACAAAATCTAGTGTCTTTTCAATTTTCTTTTTGCAAAACTGTAGTATTGCAAGAATTTTAGGACCTTTGAAACTTTAAAATGAACCAGAAATTCAATTTTACCATACAATGATCATGTCGGATATTGATTTTATTGTGCGGGCACTGATTACGCACCATTCAAGATACGTTCGAGCGAAATCGGTTGAAAAATGAGAAACTTTTGATGGAGGTATCTGCAGCCGTTTAAGCTGCTTAATCGCATATGATAATTGCACCTTACCTATCTTATTGCTATTGGTAACCAACAAAAATATTCCAACCTAAAAACCAGAAAATAAAACTACATTTAAAAAACAGCATTCTTCGGTGAGGGTGCGACTAAAAACTTTTAAACAAGAGCATTGAACAAATTTTAAAATTTATTATTACCAACCTTTTACCTCACCGTGGGTCCAAAATGATTCTGCATTAAATTCTGCATTAAATAAATGCCCACGGTGAGGCAAAAGTTGGTAATATTAAATTTTAAAATTTGTTCAATGCTCTTGTTTAAAAGTTTTTAGTCGCACCCTCACCGAAGAATGCTGTTTTTTAAATGTAGTTTTATTGATAACGTAATGCATGAACGATCCCTAAGTACCCGTTCTAATCCGATGACCGTGCAGACGACGACGACGCCAAAGTTTAAAATGTCGAATTTTTTGTCGCGACCGATTTAGATGTTTCGCCGAATTTAGATGAATTAGATTTCGCCGAATTTAGTACGAATTTAGTGCGAATTTAGTGCTAATTGTGTGCTAATGGTACATATGAAATTAATACACATTCATTTACACATATTGTATTAGTTAAATTTCAATTGTTTATTTATTGCAAATTCATCTACATACTTTATTTTTACAATAATTAATTATCCGACTTTGCTTACCTTCGCAGTATAGATAAGTGCTTCTAAAGTATTCACCCCAGTCTCTTCTTCTGATAATTTTGGGCCTGGATTTATATTTGTCACTAGAGTCGATAGATTTATTTTTTGTGTACTTTTTCAATTTCTTGATGGCCTTCTCTTCCGAATCTAGTAAATACCTTCGTATAAGTAAACTGCATATGTATGTACATAAAATTAGCTAAGAAAAAACAATACCTATGGTTCGACATATACACAATATGCCATAACTCGTCCAATCTTTTCCGGGGAGAACGCAGGGGTCACTTTTAAAACAGGAAAAACCCTTGGGGATAGGAGTAGGAAACTTGCACAGTTTTATCCTTGGAAATCCACGTAGATGGAACAACCTCCACCCCTTGGTCAATCTCAAACTTGAATATTACGAAGGTTTTTCAAATTGTCCGACACAGGATCGATCGTATCTATCTAAGAAACTTTATTAAAATTGGAAATTAAAAATAGAGAAGAAGTTCTTGAGTTGATATTGCCACATGGCCAAAAGAGTGACTGACTCGTGTTTGGTTTATTTAACGGAAAATAGAGAAATGAGAATTCCTGGTAGAATTGATTTGAATTGAATTGAATTCTTGAATTGTCAAGAATTCATGAGAATTAGTACTAAAATATTGCAGAATAATCTATACAAATTTTATGTGAAGATCTTTGTACCTGTTTACTGCATTTGGATTTGTACAATTTCCTGGGTACGAATTATGCATGAATTTAGTGCAAACAATCTCGTGAGAATTTAGTGCCAACAAATACGCACTAAATTTTCACTAGTTCCTTCGTAATAATTTGGTACTTATTAATTTGTGATAGTTTAGTGGATTTCGTGTGGTAATTTATTAACATCACACAAATTCATATAAATTTTGCACAAATCTTGTACAAATTAATGATTACATGTTTTTATGCACAAAAATTGCATAAACTTGCACTGGGATTCGCAGTAAATTCGCATTGAGGTTACTTGGGTACATACATACATTGGAAGTCATAAGTCAAACCTGTGCCAAGTCTCTAATCAAGAATTCGGAGTGAATGTACTCTTCAAAAGGATAACATTATTTTTAAGAGTGTACCAATTCAACAGGCACAAGCACATGCTTAATCTTATCACACCATTTTGTCTAATTTTATAACCTGAACGAGGCCAGTCTTTCCACAACCTTGGAACCATTTACAACTCGAAATTATTTTGACTTAGAGTCCACCAGAAATATATAGGACAGCGCCACCAATTAGCATAGAATGGGGAGCGGGCCTAGCTCGCACATTTACAATGGCTCCGGTCAATACGCCACAATATCGCTGTGGGGCTCGGTGGGGGGTACAATCCGGTCCGGAGAACATTTAAAAACAGACCGTTTTGACCATCTATTCACCCGGGTAGAGGTTCTTGACCACAAATGGCGGGTGGTGAAGGGACTGACCTTTGGCTTCCCGAAATTCACGATGATGGATTCCGCCGACAGAAATTTTATCATTCGGGGGGATGGTGTCGTTAAGCAGAAGCATGGCTGCTCCCTCAGTACGCAAGACCCCAGTGGGCCTTGGTATAGGTAATTTTTGTTTATTCATTCTAACAAGTTCAACAAATTTGCTGACTATGATAGTAATGCCCTGTTATCATATTTTGTAAAATTTAAAAACCCCGACTACCCGTGGGTATTGCTAAAATTTGCTACCTCAAAACCCACCAAAACCCGCAATGCCCTAATACCCCAAAAACCCGGGGTAGCATACCCCGACGCGTGTATCAATATAATTCATCAATCGAATCAATTGATCAAATTCGAATCGAACGAGAATATCAAAATTAACCCCTTCAAATTAACCAAATTAAGCATGTGTAATTAAGTAAGATACATATGTTTATAAGTACGTACATACATACATACCTATAATCATGCATAAAATTACATTTCTTCAGTATTTAATAGTAATTTCAACGGGTTATTTTATGCTGAGGCACATGTGGACAAAGCGACGGCTGACCATCACCATATAGAAAACTAACCTTATCCGTACGACACTAAGGAAAAGATTAGGAAAATGTCACCCTCACATTGTTGCATTACTTATCCAGGGACAGGCAATCAAGTCAGTTATTTGATGCCTTGAAACAATTACAGAGAAAACTTTGGTTCTTCCATTTCGTCAAAAAGAAGGATAATAAATCAATATGTTCATAGGCTTATCTATTGCAACCACCATTAATTAAAACTTTCTTAACCTTCACTGGAGGCTAAATGAATAGATTCCTATTAAGTGAAGAGAAATGCCGGATAGGTGGGCCAAAAACATTCTGAGACATTAGGAATTGACTAAAAATCGAAGCGTGGTTAAAGTGTTTTAATGTTTAATATTTTTTAGTGGTTTTAGAAGGTATTATTACTAATGGCAAAATCTAGTAGAGCTAAACCAGACCAAGCGTTCCACAAAAGCATTTTCCATATTTCGCAAGAAAAAGTGTTAAACTCGGGTCCTGGTGGGTATCCACCACCATAGCGCGGATTCTCGCGTCAGTGCCGTTTCCGTCGCACTTTGTAACGCTCACTCAATCATGTGTCTCATTTAATTAACTATACTGGGTTACTTAAATGTTGGCTTATCAAAATAAAAAAACTTAAATGTTGGTATACCATTAGCCCTCGTTTGTTACCCGTATAAGCCACTCCCTCAGAAACTTTGACCCCAAATTACTCAAGGTACCAGCGTTTCCCTTCGGGCAATAAAAGCTTAAAATGTAGCTCTTCCCAAGGAGAAAAATCTGGCATCAGGTTGTCCGAAGTAAATGGCTGGTACCATGCGTTTTTTAATGATTTATGTGTTGCCAATTTTCGAATTTTGAAACTCTTGATGCATTAAAATGTTCGTATTCAAGGGGGAAGTTAAATGTCAAACGCAAGTATAGGTCTAACTCTTCTTCTACATGATGTACATTGACTGTTTCATTTTTCCAATTTTCTTCCTATATTTTTATAGGGGGTGTGGTTGAACATAATTCAAAAAATGCTATGCTATATTGATCCGTGCACCCACAATTCCATTTGTAATTTTTCTAATTAATTTTAATGAAATCGACGC